GTAGTGTAAGATGTGGATCACTGTTTTGTCCTCCAATTTACACGCTAGTGATATGATTTTAAACTATAAAAAAAAGCACCTGAAGCAATTGATTTCTGCTCCAAAATGATTCATCTGAAAAATAAAAAAAAGGGAATCCGATAAAGACTATATCACAATGTTTGCATCGGGCATTTTACAATGCGAAGGTTATTTGTGTCTTCTTTTCTAACGCACGCACAGGTGACGATAATGATTCATTTTAACAACGATTTGATTCGAATCGCGATTCATGTTTGCCGATTCGATTCATGGACGATCTGGGTTAATTTAGAACGATTCGATTCAGTGACTTGAAATCGATTCAGTAACTTTACTGGACAGTGCAGACAAAGTATCTGAGATCCCTGTTGTTTCTTGTAAGGAAATCAGGTTTAAATTAATTATGGATATTATAAATAAGCAAACAACAATTGTTGACAAATGTATTAACCTTTTATTTGAATCAAGTGCCATTTTCAATGTAAACATTACACAATAATTACACAATGTTTGGATCAATTCACAGAACCCCGGATTTTCAACCACATTGTCGCATGTCTTTACAGATAAACTTGGCAATTGTTACTGTGATGTTGAGTTTGGTGCTGGTGAGGTCTGAGGTGTCTGCAGAGCTGGAGTTACCCGCTGCTGCTGCTGCAGCGGTGACGCTGCTAGAGGTCCTGACTGTCGGCGTTGTTTAATCCCATGGCGCCTTAGTAGATGGCCGGGAAGATTCGTCCTGTTTCCGTGGTTTTTCATTTGGCTTCTGCATATTCTACAAACAGCGACCGACTTATTTAGAACACCTCCGTGTTTGCAAAAGCCAAAATGTTTCCACATGCTGGATCGATAAGTTGGTTTGTAAATGTCTTGCTCGCAGTCGTCTCCTCCACGCTGTGTTTTATTGTTGTTCAGAGTTTCGCGCGGCTGCCGCTGCGTACTGATGACGTCACAGACAGGCAGACTGAATCCAGTAACGTTTAATGTGTCTAAAGTGCTAAAAAACAAACAAACAAACACACATCCATACAGTTTTTGTACTTAAATCCAATGTGCAGTTTCCATGTACCATTTCAATCGATTTCTAATCGATATATGTCGTCCGGAATGCCGATTTGCGGAGCACAGATCGATTCAGTTGGATCGCAGAAATATAAATTGATTAATCGATTCAGTGAATGAATCGTTACACCCCTAGATCCTATGGTTTCTTAGCTTTATTTTCCAGGCATCCATTGAGGCTACATGGGATGAGATGGGTGGACTAATTGAGGTAGTGAAGCGAGGCAGAACGAAGGAAAGGTGCTAATATCATCGTCGATCAACATCTAATGCAGCGGCAGGAACAGATAGAAGGATTGAGAGCATCGTAACAAGAAAACATACACACACGCGCACCAGAGGAGTCACACTGCTCAATAAACACATCAAAGCCACCAATAGCAAGCTGCATCTGGGGGATACGATGCTGACAATGCAAGAAGAAATAACCTGGCATTCGAACAAAGAATACTCAGCATTTAGATGACAACAGCAATACTATATGGAAACGGGACTCAATTATTTTTCCCCCTAATTGTTTAAACTCACCAAATGAATATGTGGTAATTAGCTGATGCAAAGGGTTGTGTGAGTTTTTTTGTGCCTTCAAAAGACTCAATGTCTCAACGCTTGCGTCGGTCTAAGTGACACTGTGGTCGTTGTCTGTCAAACAGGGTTGTAATTATGTTCGCTTGTCACTTCCTGACAAAGTCTGTAGCTTAGCAACCTGCCACCGAGATGGAGCTAAAGTTGGATCTCATTTGAATATTCCCCAGAAATTAAAATCACAGAGTGAAAACTCAGGCAGTGTAGAGTTTAGGATTTTCTAAACCTGACGGTTTTCATCAGGACACTCCTAAAAAATTTTTTACAAAATTCTCCAGCACAATATAAAAGTTTTACAGGCAGCGTGCTGGAAATAGTGATGTGAAGGTGGGCAGGTTGCGTAATTACTGTGTGCCGTTAATAAAGCAAAACACATGTTTCGGCACGCTCCGCCCACTCAACTCCCACCGTTCATGTTTAAATAGAACATGTTGGTTGTGTGCTGTAATTGTTTTTGTAAAGATGCTAAGAGATGGAAGGCACACAGAGTTCATTGTGTAACTTTTAAAGTCACATTATTCTTGCCTGTAAACATAAGATTTATATTTGTGGAGAGAGCATGTGAGCCACAGATTTCTTCACTTTATTTATTTAGCGCTTCATTGTTTTATTGAATTAGACTTATGACATTCCTTTACAACATTCTAAATAAATCAACGGCACCTCATTAGCTGCGTGTTGATTATCTTGAGTCAAAGATTATTACTTTTCAGCATTACACGCACATTATGACACATAACACGTCTTAGTACAGTACAACTCCATATACGTTTTCCCATCTCAGTTTCATAATCTGGCTTTACCTATTTAATATTAAAAATCTAAAACATTTTTCACTAAATGACTCAACTATCTTGTTTTCTACTTATTTTTAATGTGACCTTCTGTGACCAGTTTATTCTCCCGATAAGGTTGAAAAGGTTGAACATCCGCCCCTCACTGTTGATCCGGACCACAAAGTGTTGTGGTGAGCAGCTTGTCATCAAAGGCCAAACAACAATGACTGGACTCTATAGGGGTCATTATAAATGATATGATAATATAATTTATACCTGTTCATAATAATACAAACTAACCGTATCTTTGATTTAGCACCTTGTATTACTTGTTAATGGATTACTGCAGTATGTTGCTGTGTGATTTTTCTGCCTGCACGATTTTTGTTTTTTTGCAGCAAAAAAAATATCATCGTAAGAGAAATTGACTTGTTGCTCCTGGGAGCCTTGTCGAATGAAGTCGGTTTGACATGTCACGGTAACATATGGTGTCCTCTGCTTCTCCATCTGCTTTTCTGCCTCTGTGTTTACGTTGTTTGAAGGTGCAATCCAGCCGCAGTCGGCAGCTTGATTAAATCCCAAGGAAAGTACTTACTGTCATAATGGGATGATCCCAAGTTAATAAGGTCTCTCCTGCAGACAGTTGTTTTTTTTTATATCGCCACATTTAAAAAACAGATGAAGAGCTACAGCACATATCGTGCTTCTTCATTCTAGTCCACCAACTCCAACAAGGCGACAAAATGTCCACTTGGCCGCGCATTTGACGGATGTTTTTTATTGCTCTTGCTGTGTTTATTACCACACACACACGCACGCGCACGCACACACTGAGTGTGTCCTTGTCTCAATTAGCAGTACATACTGGGCCACTTGTTCTTCCTAACCTGGGGGAGATAAATAATGCATCACAGCTCAGCCGCGCGTGCGCGTACGTGTGCGTCTCCGCCTCGGCCAGCGACCCATTATGCAGTGAAACAGCACGCGCACGCGACGGATGCGGGGAGCCTCTCGTCGCGTGCGCTTTATTTATTTATTTATTTATTTATATATATATATATATATATATATTTTTTTTTTTTTTTACGTGCGTGAGAGAGAAAGCGAGACGGGAACAGCTCGCCGTTGTGGCCTTTCATCTTGGTTTGGTCTCTGCAGTCGTTTTAGATGTGAATTCGTGTGAGCGTGCGGCGACACGTGACACCGACGTCACCTAAATAGTTAGGTACCTAAATATTTTCATGATTCTTTTTTATCTTCAAATAACCCAAATATTAAATGAAATGTGCACCTGTCAGACAAAGAGTTAGTTTGCACTATATGGCAGATTTTGAATAAAGAAGAATTTAAAAAATAAGGCTAAACGTTTTGTATTTTGACTGTCCGGTACCACAGACTCACTTACTTACTTATGCATTTGTGACCCTGCGAAGTGACCAAGAACTACAGCTAATATGTCAAAAAAAAGGTGCCATTTACAAAGATTTAGCTTCCACCAAACACGTGTGTTTCCAAGTTGTACATATTTGAGGGATTGACTAACAAATGGCTGTTTTTGTAGGACAAAACTATGTTTAAAGTGTATACAATGAAGCCAGTGTAATGGCAGAACACGACCAGTCGTGAAGATTCTATTATATAGTATAAACCTAAACTGCAGTGATTATATTCACCTTTTTTGTAATGAGATTCTTACTGTGCTGTGATATCGTGCCTGTGGATCTATGTTTTTCTCTCAGTACTGATTTTCTTCTCCACCCCCTCCGTCTTTTCTCATCCCAATTATTTTCTGCACATGTTCCCCTTCATGCAATGGTTTAGTAATAAACTCTGGTAGCATACACTAAAACTAATTTATCTCAGTGTGTTAATATGTTGTTCTGCCCTCCTCGTTGGGTTCAAGAAAAACAAATGTCCTCCTCGTTGAAGCCCTTTTGATGAGTTACAGTTTGTGAGAAAACTTTGCATGTGGGTGACGCATTCACAAGGAGACAAAGAAACAGAAAACATGACATCCTTAGTAAATAATGCTGTTCTGTAAATCAGTGACAAATGTACTATTGTTTTGACATGCAATGGGAGGTTCAATAAAGAGAAAACTTTTGAATATGCGTTCGGCAAATTTAAACTGTAATCTGCAAGGGAGAAACCAGCAGTGGATATAATCACCATGAAGTCTCCCACAGATTTTGGTGACAGTGTTGAAGCTTCAAGATCCAACGTTTTGACTTTTGCGATCTTGTTTTGTTTTCGGTGAGCAGCGTTACAATTCAATGTCATGTAGTAAAAATCACACTGAAAGGTTTATTACTCTTAAACACCATATGCACAACGATGTGGTAGCGACCTGTTGATCACAACGTAAGGAGGTTTGAATTGCATGATCCTGATTTAAATGTACGTTTAAAATCAGTCTAAAAATGATCACAGGAGCTTGAGTGATCTCAAACTGGTTGATAGGATCAACCAGCTTGGTCTTATAGCTCCCCCTGGCGGACGATCTGTTCAGCCACCATGCTTGTATCTATTTTGCAAATTAGGACAGACACACAAACCTTGTTTTGAGACTTCATGGTGCACGAGTCCTTTTATTCAAAAGTACACATAGCAAGCAAAAAACATCTACATTCTGAATAACATCCAGTGGCTCTTTATGGCTTGTCAAAGTAAAAAAAAATAATAATCTGAAAACGTGTATTACTTCATGATTATTAACAAAACTGTGAGTCAAATTTGTTCTGCACTGGTAAGAAAAAAAAAATCTTAATCATTACAAAAAAACATCCCATACAATTCTGAACAATATGGCTGGAATTTTTGGTCTCGTCATATCATATTTAACTCGCGTTTATTTTTTTCTTTAAAGATCAATTGATAGAACTGGACACAGTATTTACATTTATAATACAAAACAGTTAGTCACGGGCATCAAAAGCGGTCCTCGACAATTCCCTGAAACCGGCAGACAATTTTCAAAATGACATGATTGACTTTCCTTCCCTGGAGAGGGATCAACATTTAATCCAAAAATTGCAGATGCGGTCAAAACAACTTTAGCGTATCGTCTGTTCTTAACAAAATTCAGACCAGATTTGCAACACCAACCCCTCCACACAAAACGTTCCTTTTTAAAAAATGGATTACCTCTTGATTTTTCATGTTGTTGTGAACTCATTAACAGTAAATTTACAGCATCGCTTCAGGGTTTGTGGCCTTTGGCGGTGAAACTAAAACCTCAAAAGCATGCAATTTAATGCTTTTAGATTTTCTCTGTCACGGTAAAACTAGCAATATGCATTCATTCACTCTCAGCGTAACACATGATGACCCCAAAACACCATCCGACTGACACACCACTGTACAAAAATGTTGGAGGTATAAGCCATTTGTGTTTATCGAAATGTAACCCGAAGCTTTTCTTCTGAGACTTTGCGGGAGTCTGTGGTTCCCGTTTTGTACCTAAATCCCGTTAACGTCTGGGTAACTGCCATCAGACGCTCGTCCCGTCGGCTCACCACATGAACCTCTGTGGGGCCGTGCTGTCCGGCCAGCGGAAGGTCTTACTGATGAAGAGGTAAAGCGTGGCGGCGTTCACCGCCGCGTACAGGAGAAACTCCGCCACGAGTCTGGGAGAGGAGGGCAGGGGCATGTGGAGGCGGTACATCAGGTAGGGAACGATGAAGTACCTGAACTCCAGCAGCTTCTGCGGCACCGTCGCGGCCACCAGGCACACCAGGAACGCCAGGCTCCAGAAGAGCGAGTGCGACTTCAAGGCGTCCAGGAAATTCCACCCAGCGAACACGTACGCGGGCACGAGGAGGAAGCGCACCAGCTCGTGCCTCTGGAAGAGCCTGTTCCACACGTAGAAGGGGAAGTGGCGGTTATCTGCCAGGAGGTACTTGTGGACGAAGGTGAACTTCCACACCAGGAGCAGGCACACGCACGTGACAAAGAGGAAAAAGAAAGGCTGCTTCTTCAGAGCCTGGAGGAAGCGGAGGGCGCGATGGTAACACAGCGAGACGGGGAGCGAGAAGAAGAGGGCGAAGGAGAGGAAGTAGAAGAGTTGGGGGAAGTTGAGGCAGGCTTCGTGACTCGTCCGGTCACCCACTACTATCCCATCGTTCAGCACCGCAAACGCCAGGAAGCCCGCGCCGACCACCGCGTAGGGCCAGGCTACCAGCAACACCGCCTTCGCGTGGCCGGGGGAGGCGAGGAACTCCAGCGCGAAAAGTGTTGCTTTCTTGGCGCCGCCCAACGACAGGGGCACCTGGGGCGCTGGGGACTTCTCGTCCCGCTTTTTGGAGCGCTCCACCCTCCAGGCCTCGTCCATTTGGGCGGCCACCAGAGTGCCAGCGCAGAACGCCACCCAGATGATGTTGGTCTGACGGAAGAGCACGGAGCAGACGCCGAGGAACGCCGAGGCCTTGTGGCAGCCGTGGAGCGTCATGAGATAGGTGAAGAGGGTGAAGAAAGTGGACCCGGCGTCGGTGTAGTAAAGGAAGTTGAAGAAGTAGAGCACGGGGAAGGTGGACAGGGACAGCGCCGAGAGGACTCTGCGAGAGGTGCTTCTCGTCTGGAAGAGATGAAACAGAACATCAGAAACGCGGAGGACTCACACGTGAGCGTTGTGATCGTCGTCGCAGCCCGGGAATACCTTCTCGCGCAGGTGCAGTTTGCAGACCAGTAGGTAGAGCACGTAAAGGTTTCCGCAGTTGAACAGCAGGTTGACGAAGCGCAGCATGGCCGTGGAACACACCACCTGGCCCGTCAGGTCAGCGAGCCACACCACGGGCTTGATGACTCCCACGGAGACCAGGTAGAGGCCCGGGAGAGTGGTGATCATCGGGTCCCACTGCGGAAGGATCACAACAGTGGTGAAGGGAAATTCCACCAAGTTTACTTAAAGAGTTCTGATGTAAATGTTGGTGATAACAATTCTGTATGCATAGATGTCTTTCCAATTTGGGAGAGGATTGTTTACCAAACTTAATCAAAGTGAAATACTAACACAATGGAAGTCTTCTATTTCAATTACTTGAGGGAAAACAAGAACAACGGTGTGCTTTAGAATGACTAAAACATCAAATGTTCACATGCCTGGTGGTCAAAGAGTCGATTCTGATCCTTTAATCTCTACTTCCAGCCCCGTGAAAGCTGGAGGCACCTCGCATGACATCTACAGTATATTTAAGCAGATAAACCCCCTCTAATGCCATTCTCTGTGTATGCATTGGGGGGGGATTAAAAACTCAAAAGCACCCACGTCGTTCTAAATGACGGAAGCTCCGCAGTTATTTGACCTTAATCCGCAACAACAAAAGCGTCGCCCTTTGGTGGCCACATTAAAGCGCCACCGTCTCTACCTCGTTGAATTTTCCATGGCAGTATTTCTGAGCTTGCGGGACATGAAAAATCTCGTCCATGTACGGCTCCCTTTGCTCCCGGGTGACTCTGGAGAACAGCAGGCAGGATATCAAAAAGTTGGTGCTGCAGAGCGCAGTGAAGATGTAGCCTTCGAATTTCTCCATGTTTGATGACGGAACGCGACGTGGACTTGAATGCAGTTCAACGCCGGCTGCGATAACGTGAAGTATTCTGCACGTCGGTGCGTACGCGTGTTAAAGCCCCGCACTCTCTCTTTCTCTCTGGACGTGGAGGGGAACCTGTTCAACTCTGTCCCGGATTGATAAACGGAAGCGTTCTCTGCTTGACAGTTGGCGGTCCGCCTCCGAAAATCAGCCGGCACGGAAAATGCTTTAATTGTTTTTCGTTCCGGGTTGTGCCAAATTAAGTTAAGCATCCCTCTTCTGAAGCGGTAGCAAGTGTGATAGCAGCTACCAAAAACGTATATAATACACTTAAATGGAACATCTCTAAGATATTATTTTCTTGAGTTTGTGGGACCGGAACTCCGCTCCGACGCGGTGTCACTGTGTTATGGTCCCCCCCCGTGTGCAGACGTTCACGTGAACCGCAATTTCCTTCACAGTTGTCCAACATGCATTCAACACACGAACTAGAGCTCTTTCCCGAGTACAAGGTGACTCAAATGCTTTTCAAGGACGTCCAAAATGCTGCCGAGCTGAGACAGTGTGCGGTGGAGGGTAAAATAAAGGGTGCCTTGATTAACCCGACGATGGTGAGAGTTTTTTTATTCAGCTTCGGCTTCAAGCTAATGTACATAAGGCGTGTTCTTATATATCATTGATAGCAGTATTTCCCATACAAAGCTGTGTTTTGAACCAAATGGGTCTGATAAACGTCGTGCTGCTCGTTCATTGTCAAACTGCTTCTCTCATTCACAGCTGGTGAATCCTTTCCAGGTGCTGGTAGCTGCCAACAAGGCTGTTTCCTTACAGAAAATGGGCAAAATGAAGACCAGGAGTTTGTTCTCAGAAATAATCTTCAACCTGTCGCCTACTAATAATGTTAGTACTTTTAACCAAACTTTATTATCTTCATATTTATTTAGATAAATCTTTATCTAATTCTAATTTGAAAATGCTTGTAATGCGTTTATCAATTTAGACGATATTTGTTGTAGATGCACTATTTGCCATGGAAACGTAATCTTTCATTCTACTCGCTGTGGATGGCCCCTGAAGTAGATGCAACATATTTATGTATTTATGTAAGTATGTATGCTTTTCCATAATATAGATCTCTGAGGCGTTCAAAAGGTTCGGGAGCTCTGATGGAGATGACTCCGTCCTCGTGGTCCTGGTTCACGACAAAGATGAGCCACAGCTGCTGTCAGACATCACAGCCAGGGTGAGCGGACGGCAGGTACCAGCAGAAGATGTTTCCACGCTGACAGATCATGCAAAAATCAAAAAGGTTACTCTCTTCCTAAATTAATTAAATGTGATTCATGCTGTCCAACCATGCTGTTTTTCTTTTCTTTTTTTTTTTCTCTTCACTTTTTGTCAAATGGAGGACACGCTCACACAAGCAGTGTACTGTATATTCACAATAACGCATCTGAATGGGTGAACCGCTAGAATTCTTTTCACCTTCATTCCAAAATGTGATACCTAGTTATGTTCAAAGTCCTACCTGAAATGTATTTCAGTAACGTATCTTTTAATCTAGCACATTTTTTGTCTTTTGTTTAGCTTTATAAAATCCCCCCTCAGGAGGAGAAGTGTGGGACTCTGCTGGACGCGGTTGTATGCAGGATGGCCACGAAGGACGTCATGTAGCTTCAACTGGAAAAAGGACTTTAAAAAGATGGTTGCCTTTTTTTTATGAGATTTGAATTCATATTGATATTGTCTTTCCTTTTGTCCCTGAAGATGCAAACCTTGTTTCAACACAAACTCAAAGAAATCTTCATTTTTCAAATATTTTTTCATCACCTTTAGTTGTCTTTCTTTCTGCTCACACTGTCTAAACTGTTTTTCGCACTTGTTTATTTCTGCATTTCCCCATAGTTTCCAACTTCAGGGCGGGGAGAGGGAGGGAGGGAGGGTAGTAGGGGGTAATGTAAAACTGGTCACATGCTAGCAAGTCTGATTTGGTTGTCTAAAACATTTGGATGAAGCGTTGTTTTTTTTAATCCTATGGAAAGACTTGTATAGTGACACTAAAATTGTGGAGCCAAATGTAAAATGCCCTTTGCCTGTCTCTTCGCTCACTCAGACGGAACATAAATGTTCAGAGTACATTACATGAGATGGAGATGTTTATTTAATAAGACTGCAGCTGCACGCATTGGAACCAACAACACTTGAGATTGTGGCACCTGGAACTCATCAAGAGTTGATTTTAAGCTCATTTAATTAACTTAATATGTTCACTTCTGAAACTGAATCTCCCTTGTTACAGTTACAGAAAAATGACACTAAAATGATTTTGAAGCTTTTTCTTTTATTTTCAAAATATGTTAACAAAAGTCACATCACAGTAGTGTACATTTGTCAGCCTGGGAAGTTAACGAGCTCGTCTTTTCCGATGTTCCCTCCGCTGAGGATGCACACCACGGTCTTCCCCTCCAGCTCGGGTATCTTGTCGTTTACGATGGCAGCGAACGCAGCGCAGCCCGACGGCTCCACCACGAGGCCGGACCTGTACAGGGTGGACACGGCCGCCTTGATCTCGTCATCATTTATGAGGACGATCCCCTCCACGTAACGCTGACACAACTCAAAGGGCAGTGTGCCTGGGATGGAAAAAAAAGGGATAGAGCCCAAAATTAGCATCAGTAACAATAAGAGGGTCTTTGGACTTGAAATGTTGAGACTAAATCTGAATTAAAGCATCCGTCATTTAAAGCGGAGAGAAAGACTGAGAGAAACAACTTGCATGATACCTGCAAAAGGTGGAGCGAGACCTGAGGCGATGCTCTCGGCCTCCATGCCCACTGGCTTCTTCTCAATGAAACTCCTGTACATGGTGCAGGCTGGGTTTGAACAGAAACACAACAAGCCCAAAGTTCACCGGCTGCTGAAAACGACCCCATGGCCTGAGGTCTGTAGCTAAAGCTGTAGATGATGCCCTTTCGTGTGCTAGTTTTACCTCCATCTGGTTCCACACCATAGATTCTGGTCCCATCACAGCCTGACAATTTGATTGCAGCGGCTACACCGGCCAGCAGGCCCCCTCCTCCACAGCACACAACCACCACATCCGGCTTAGGAATCCCCTCCAGCACCTCTAAACCCAGACTGTACACAACACACAGGTTTCGACTTTGCTCTAATACATAGAAGTTAGAATTGACCTTATTCCATCGTCAGCCCTTGAGCGTACCTGGCGTGTCCTGCTATCAGATCCAGGTCGTCGTAAGAGTGCAGGAAGGTCATGGCGTCTTCCTGAACGCAGCGGTTCACCACGTTCATCAGACAGGATGTGGGAACCTGTTCTACCTCCACCCCGAAACTCTGAGGACAGGAATGATACCAAAGGAATTAGTTTGTTTCAGGTTGGTAGAGAAAAACAAAGTACAATTAATTCTGTCAGCCGATGACCTCTGACCTGTATCAGGATGGATTTGGACACAGGGGCTGTTTCGGGCATCACCACCTTGCCCTTTGACCCGTAGTGTTTAGAGGCGTACGCAAAAGATTTCCCATAGTTCCCGGCGGACATGGTGACAAAATGACCCCCCTTAGGTCTCCTGGAAAACTGGTTGGCCACTCCTCTGATCTTAAATGACCCTGGCATTCAAAAGTAGGACAGTTCTTTAGCAGTGAGCTGATGCGCGAGAAGAATCAGTGGTTTCGTCCTACCAGTTCTCTGCATGTTCTCCAGTTTGATGTGGACGTTGCAGCGGAGGTGGAGAGGCAGGGTGGTCTGGCACCAGGGGATCATGGGTGTGTTGATGACACCCAGGGGGCTGCTTCTCACCGTCTCCCAGGCATCTCTCAGCAGGTCCAGGGTGACGGAGTCTGCGGACACCTCACCCATCTTTGTTGGGAAAAAATTCAGCAATATATTTGCATTGTGGAGGCACCATTTTGGGTGACAAAGCATGGGCATTTAATAATCATCAGTATCAACATATATCTCTTTGACAAAGGTACAATGTATGTGTCCAGGATGGTCTAAACCAGCAGGTCTTAGGCTATAGTGAATAGTTTAGCTAAGACACCAAACAAGAGGTCTCCAGGGCTTTGGCTGATGTCGTGGTGGCTTTCCGCATTGTTAATATCACCCAAATTCAGAAAAATGACCTGAGGTGATCTGTACTCAGAAAGTCTCCTCTTAAACCATTCTGGTGGCTTTCCAACACGACTTGCATGTTTGGTTGAGATGAAAATGAAGCTGGCTTCATGCTACTGTTGGCTCATCTTTCCCCACAGAAAAAAAAGTCTTAAGTGCAACTTGTGGACATAAATCCCATCAAAACATATTCTTCTGAATATTGACAGAATTTTCCCCAACTAGTTAGTTATTTCATATTCATGGCACTTTTCAGCAGCGTTTCTGCAACACTTCAACCACAACTCCATCGTTTTTCTGAGTTTTCAGTTTATGAATTTATACTTATACTTATTGACTATACTATTGAATATTTATCAAATAATCATTTTGAAAGGTACTCCCAGAGGTAAACCTACCCACATTTCAGAACTAATGGTGTATTGAGCCTAATAATAACGTTAGTATTAATAATTAATTTAACTTTTTCAAGTCTTTTAATAAAACTTGATTATAGGATTATAGGATCAGCCCTTTACACTACTCTAACTCACGTTGAATACATGTACAAATTACAAACAATATTGTAAATAGTTATTTTATTAGCTAACGTTACCATTTCGTTTTTGCTATGCTAATAATAATACTGAATAACCGTCCATCCGCACCGATTTATAAAAAAACAACAAATGCACGCTGAATAACAAAACCGACTACTTTTTCTTTCTTTTTTTACTAAATAAAAGTACCCCACAACGTTGTGTTTCGTGCACGAGGTAAATTATTCCCACTGACCGTCTCACTTGTTTGGATTTCTCCGTGATGTTTACAGTGTTACGTTTTTGTTGGTTCCTCCCACCGGCAACATATTGTTCCCCTCTGAGACTTGTTTCTCGTCGGACGTCATTATTAAATGGACCACAAACATGGCCGCCCAAGAAAGTCACCACGGAGACTTTTCTTAGATACGCAAGACGAATAGTACTAAGATAAAGGACTGCCTTTTGAAAACATGGGTGTCATTAGACACGTGGTGTGCGCCATGTCCGGCGGCGTCGACAGCTCCGTCGCCGCTTTGTTACTAAAGAAAAGAGGTGAGAAGAACCTGTCATGTCTGACACACACACAAACACACACATACACACACATACACACACACAACCACACGCTGACACCCTTTGCTAATGTTAAATGGTCAGCCAACCCGCTTTCTCTATATAAATCAAAAGTCAGACTTGCTGCTATTTTCTTTCTTTCACGTAAAGGTTACAGTGTGACAGGAGTTTTTATGAAGAACTGGGACTCACTGGATGAGAGTGGGACGTGCACTACCGAGAAGGACTGTGAGGACGCCTACAGAGTGTGCCAGGCCCTGGACATCCCCTTCCACCAGGTGTCTTATGTCAAAGAGTACTGGAAGTCTTCAGGTATTCGTGGCAGCCATGCATGAATCACATACGCGTTTAAGTTGTGTAACTCTTTAATGTAAACCTTTCATGCCTCTGTCATTTTCAGTAAACTTTTGAAGGAGTATGAAAGGGGCAGGACGCCCAATCCAGATATACTATGCAACAGGCATATAAAATTCAACCATTTCCACAAGTACGCCATCGACACTCTGGGTATGTGGTCACAATGTGTTCGCACACTGATATGAACTCATTCCGAGGGGCTTGTTTCTGGTAAATGTTGGGGGGTGATTAGAAATGAGAGGATTTAACTGATTCCAATGTCAAGCGCAATACGCGTGGCGTTTTCATTTGCGTTTTGCTTTTGCTGACTCAGGGGCTGATGCCATGGCAACAGGCCACTACGCCAGGACGTCACAGGAAGACGAAGAAGTGTTCCAGCAGACACATTTGGCGCCGCCGACCACGCTCTTCAGAGACCGATTTGAGATCAGAAATCGTAAGTGCTTGACCGTAAAAGTTCACCACAGCAATAGCTTCTAAGGTCAAACCATCTAACCAAGAAAAAAATGTAATCTATCTTCCCAGCGGTGAGGTTGTACAAAGGAGCAGATCTCCTCAAAGACCAAACCTTCTTCCTCTGTCAGATCTCCCAGGAGGCCTTGCGACAAACCACGTTCCCGCTGGCAGGACTCACCAAAGACTTTGTCAAAAAGATTGCTGCTGAGGCTGGGTTTCACCATGTGCTGAAGAAGAAAGAGGTAGCGGCACACGCGCATATGAAAAAAGTAATAAATCAAGTTGTGTACCAACAGTAAACTTGATCTTTCAGAGTATGGGCATCTGCTTCATTGGAGAAAGAAACTTTGAAAACTTCATTATGGAGGTAAGAGTTCAAAACTCCAGTAGTTTTTCAACATAACAGATGTGCAAATATGGCTTTTTTAAATACCTACTATTGTTCTTTTTTTGTTCTCTTTCCAGTATCTGGAACCCAAACCAGGGAACCTTGTTTCCATTGAGGACGGGGCTGTCATGGGAACACACAAAGGCATGTTCGCTGTTTGAGGTTCTCTAACTGTGAGCCTCTGACAAAAGGAAGAACCGCAGTGTCATTTTTATGAATTGTGTTCCAAACTTCTGACACTTAAAAGCTCTCATAGTGTACTTCCTGTTCCTTCTTTGGTCTGTTTGTCTAGGCTCGTTCACCTTGACCCTTGGCCAGAGGGCGAGAATTGGAGGGCAGAGAGACCCCTGGTTTGTGGTGGACAAAGACACCGATACTGGAGACGTGTTTGTGGTGAGAAGGTTTGTCTATGTTGTTAAAGGGGTAAATGAAGGGAAAATAAAAGGCTCACCAACATTTAGGATTTGCATCAAGTTTGTTCTTTTTTTTTTTTCAAGCTTAATTAGGCGTGCAACACTGTTACAAACTTAACCATTGTTTTCCTGTTACTTTACTTCGAAATGTCTGACCAATCAGGCTCCGACTACTAATCACCCGGCTCTTTTCCGTGACACGGTTGGTACGGACCGCTTCCACTGGCTAACAATCGACCCGCCTCCTGAACTAATCAAGACCCAGATGATGGAGTGTCATTTCCGCTTCATCCACCAGATGCCTCTCAGTGAGTTTTGCGTCGTTAGCGTACGCACAGTGATGGGAAAAGTGTTTACTCACTTTTACTTTCTTTTTTTTCACGGCTTCCCAGCTCCCTGCACAGTGACGCTGAACATGAACGGCTCCGTGTGGATCACACTCTCCCAGCCAATCAGAGCTCTGACACCTGGACAGGTAACGCACCAATGTTAATGACTACAGTGTAATTGCTTGGGCCTACCAGTTATACTGCACACTTCCTTAGCCCCTTTCAACGTTGCTTCCCCTCAGTTTGCTGTGCTGTACAAAGGAGACGAGTGTCTGGGTAGTGGGAAGATCATGCAGCTGGGGCCCAGTGAATACACACTCCAGCGGGGCAGAGAGCGCTTGGTGACAGCCGCGCCCCACGAGGAGCAACCGACCCCTGAACCAGCCAGCTGAGACGACCTGGCAGCCCGGCCGTGGTGAGCCCGTGTGCTCCACTACGGAGAGCAAGCTGCTCATGAGGTTCTAACTGGGACATGGCGGCCTTCTAAGAGACTCTAAACTGGTGACTGTCTTCAGAAATTTGAAGGTATTAAAAGAACGAGGACAAAACCGTTTTCTGCCAGCTGCTCCGATAAACCATCTCCGTGCTTTTGGTGTAGAGATGAAATGCAATAATTTAAATAAAGTAACATTTTGAAAATAGAAATCAAGTCGCATATCAAACATGATGCGTTGCCTCCATTTATCTGCTGCCTCATGACCTTTATGATGTGTTTGCTGTTCATGTATTGATACTTTATTTGGTGTTGAAGAGGTTCTCTGATATTTCAATTGCTACAGTTGTGATTTCCTTTGAGTTATTGTGACAGAAAACAAAGTCAAGTTTTCTTTTAAAAAAAAGGTAATCAATGCATTAATGTTTCAGAAGATGTTCCGTTTGTTTATTGATAAAGTAGGTTGATACTTTTGCACAAAAGTGAAAAACAAATAGGATTCAATACAAATCCAATCCTACTTTTGCTTTCCGCTCACATTTGGGGACAGTTGATTCAGTTGTTTAGGACAATCATCGTGTTCACCTCAGCTTTCTACTGAACTATAATACACTGTCCTGTATTTTGAGAACCATTTCTCTTCAAAAGTCATTATTGTAAGTTATTCCTAAACTACACACTAAATACTTGAACATTTACCAGGTAGTGAACTAACCGCATAAGTCATCTGTTGACTTCCATTTGCCCACATAACTAAATATAATTGATTTATACATGAAAAAAAGGTTTGTAGTTGTACATTGGCGTCCCGACCCTTACTGACCCAAAAGGGGGCGCTGTTCTATCAGATCAGCCGCAGAGTGGACCTGTTGTTCTCGGGCGCTGTTGTTTTGTACCGTAAACACACTGTATGTTTCTAACGAATTGTAATGACACTTATGTCAGAGTCTACTTCTACTAACCTCATCATTTGGTCTTTGCTAGTTTTTCGATTGTTTTTGGAAAGTTGTTTGTCATCTTAAAATAGTTTTCCTTTGTTGGGGGGGACATGATTATTATACAAATAACTTAGTCTAGTCTAGTAAAAAACAAAATAATGAAAACGAAGAACATGAACTTGTCATTCTCATTTTCTGATAACATTTATTGTATAGAACTAACTTTCTGTGTGACCTTTCAACATTCTCACTATGAAAAAACACAATTTTTCAAATGCAATGATAAGATAAGTTAGTTGATGAAGTTATATCGCTTCTATTCTTTTACTGAGAATATTTTTTTTATTGATCTGGTATAACTAGTTGAACTGTATACGCCTGTTTATTTTTGTACATCAACACATGAGTAGCAGTCCATTGGAGCCGTGGGACATGTCCACATCATTTTCAATATGTTGGACACTGATGTCTTCGTACAACAGCTTCATCAGTTCATACATGCTGCTTCAATCTCACGCATAACACGCATCGGGACTTTTACGCAGCTCTCACGCTATTGTGAAAACAATGCACTTGCGCGCTTTGGTCACCCGGTCACGTCCACTTTGTAAATCTCCATAAGGAAAAAAAAACCCTCCCCCTCCATGAAAGCGTCCCAGAGGGGGGGCGCAGCAGGTTTATGGTAATAAACCTCCGAGGAGAAGAGAAGGAGGAGGCGGAGGAGAGCCACGGAGCCATTTTGTACTCATTTTAAACTCCGTGTGGTTTAACGCAGCTGCTGCGCGCCGCGGGTACGCCGATGCTATGGATGCCAAGGGACTTTTTCCGCGTTAAAACTTCACGATGAGGGGTAAAAGCAAAACTCGGTGTTGGCAGAAGGAGAGTTAATGCTTTTTGCGGAGAAGTTTCCGTGAAGTTGAATGGGATTTTGGCAGGTTCACAAGCATGGAGCTACCGATGATTTGGATTTGGGTTTGTGTCCTGTTTTACGTGCCGCTGGTGGGATGTTTGGAGATACACCTTTCGGACACCTTACAGCCCGGGACCCTTTTGGCAAACCTGTCGCTTGGCCCTGGATGGACTTTTAAACTTGACAGGACTTTATCCCCAAAATTCATCCAAAGCTTTTTCCAAGTCGAAAGACACGGCGGGGTCGTCCGCCTGTCCCACAGAGTTCAGTGCGCGCACACGGCGAGGAACCCAGCGCCGGTTTATTTCAGAACCAGTTCTTTGGCGTCTGGGGACGTTATTCTGACACGGTTCAACGTGTTTGTCCACGGACAGGACTGTTTTATCAAATACAAGAGAAAGAAATGGTCAGGTAAGCCAGACATCCACATTAAACACCTCACGGAACTGGAGGCGACTTCCTGCTTAACGGCAGGTAAACTGCTTTTAAATGTAACTGAACTTTTGCCCTCCTTCACGCGCAACGTTGCATTTTTGCACCGCGCGTGTGTCGGAAAAGACTTGAGTGCCGTGTTCAGGCATGGGCATCTACTCCTGACCAGCAACTTGTGCATGGAGCAGCGGGCGCAGCCCGAGGGGAGTTTGCGCTGCGCGCTGCGCAGCTCTGCGGGCGGCCGGCTCTCTGTGCAGCTGAGTGTGACGATCGTAAAAGTGCCCAAACAACATGGATCCGTCCCAGAAAGCATCCGGAGGAACTCTGGCCAGATGATCCGCAGGGGGAAGCGACAAGTAAACGCGTCTCCCCAGTTCCAGCTCCCCAACTACCAGGTGTCCGTGCCAGAGAACGAGCCGCCCGGCACGCGGGTTATCACCCTGAAAGCCACGGACCCGGATGATGGAGAGGGAGGCCGGCTGGAGTACAGCATGGAAGCATTGTTTGATGTAAGGTCCAACGACTTTTTCAACATAGACCCTCAGTCAGGAAGCATAACAACCGTGCAGTCACTAGACAGGGAGGTCAAAGACACCCATGTTTTCAAAGTTACTGTGATGGACAACGGCTCCCCTAAGAGATCTGCCACTTCTTACCTCACCGTCACTGTGAGTGACACCAACGACCACAGCCCGGTTTTTGAGCAAACCGAATACCGCGTCAGCATCCGGGAGAATGTTGAAACGGGTTTTGAAGTGATGACGATCCGAGCCACGGATGGAGACGCGCCGTCCAACGCTAACATGATTTACAAACTCGTCAACGGCGACGGGGTTAACTCTGTGTTTGAAATTGACCCCCGGAACGGCCTTGTGAGGATCAGAGAGCGGCCTGACAGGGAGACCCGGGCCAAGTACCAGCTTATTGTTGAGGCCAACGACCAGGGGAAAGACCCAGGGCCCCGCAGTGCCACCGCCACCGTCAAGATCTCTGTGGAGGATGAGAATGACAACTATCCACAGTTCACCAAAAAGAGGTATGTTGTAGAGATCCTAGAGAATGTGTCAGTCAACACCAAAGTCATCCAGGTGGAAGCTACAGACAAAGACGAGGGGAACAACGCCAAAGTTCATTACAGCATCATCAGTGGCAACGTCAAAGGACAGTTCTACATCCACTCCCCCACTGGTGTGATCGATATCATCAATCCTCTGGACTACGAGATGATTCGAGAGTACAATTTGCGGATTAAGGCGCACGACGGGGGCAGGCCTCCTCTAATAAACGGCACGGGGATGGTGGTGGTGCAAGTAGTGGACGTGAACGACAACGCCCCCATGTTTGTCAGCACACCCTTTCAGGCTACTGTGTTGGAAAACGTGGCCATCGGTTACTCTGTGATCCACATTCAAGCAATTGACGGTGACTCTGGATACAACGCCCTTTTGGAGTACCGTCTAACTGACACCGTGCCTGGCTTCCCGTTCACAATCAACAACAGCACAGGCTGGATCACAGTGAGTGAAGAGCTCGACAGAGAGACTACAGACTTCTACACCTTTGGCGTAGAGGCGAGGGATCACGGGATACCTGTGATGTCCTCCTCAGCCAGCGTCAGCATCACGGTGCTTGATGTGAATGACAACGTGCCCACTTTTACAGAGAAGGTCTACTCGCTGAAGATCAATGAGGATGCTGTTGTGGGTACCAGCGTACTGACAATGACAGCCGTGGATAGGGACATCAACAGCGTGGTGACCTATCAGATCTCCAGTGGCAACACCAGGAACCGCTTCGCCATCACCAGCCAGAGCGGTGGCGGTCTTGTCACCTTGGCCCTACCCTTGGACTATAAGCAGGAACGCCAGTACGTCCTGACAGTCACCGCCAGCGATGGGACTCTCTACGACACCGCTCAGGTGTTCATTAACGTGACGGATGCCAACACACACCGGCCCGTCTTCCAAAGCGCCAACTACCAGGTGATGCTCTGCGAAGAGAAACCAGTGGGCGCCACTGTTGTGATGATCATAGCGACGGACGAGGACACGGGGGAAAATGCTCGCATCACGTACTTGATGGAGGACAACGTCCCACAGTTTAAAATTGACCCAGATACCGGGGCCATCACAACACAAATGGAGATTGATTATGAAGACCAGGCCTCCTACACATTAGCCATCATTGCCAGAGACAATGGCATCCCTCAGAAATCTGATACCACCTACGTGGAGATTATCATCCTGGATGCCAACGATAACACTCCCCAGTTCCTACGGGACAGGTACCAGGGGACCGTATTTGAGGACGCACCTGTCTACACCAGCGTTCTCCAGATATCTGCTTCGGATAGAGACTCTGGCTCAAATGGCAGGGTGAGCTATACATTCACCGGTGGCGATGACGGAGAGGGGGATTTCTTTATCGAGCCATACTCCGGTATCATCAGAACTGCTCGCAAACTGGACCGAGAGAATGTCCCGGTTTACAATCTGAAGGCCTACGCTGTGGATCGAGGGGTCCCGCCTCTGAAAGCTGCCGTTGTCATCCACGTGGTGGTTCAAGACATAAATGACAACGCCCCGGTGTTTGAGAAGGACGAGCTGTTCATTGACGTGGAGGAGAACAGCCAGGTCGGATCTATCGTGGCCCGGATCAGTGCCACTGACCCCGACGAGGGCACCAATGCTCAGATCATGTACCAGATTGTAGAAGGAAATATTCCGGAAGTGTTCCAGCTAGACATTTTTAACGGCGACCTCACTGCACTCACCGACTTGGATTATGAAGTTAAAACAGAGTATGTCTTAGTGGTCCAGGCCACCTCAGCTCCACTAGTGAGCCGGGCCACTGTGCACATCCGCCTCGTAGATATGAATGACAATAAGCCGGTGCTGCAGGACTTTGAGATTATCTTCAACAACTACATCACCAACAAGTCCAACAGTTTCCCATCAGGAATAATAGGAAAAGTTCCAGCTCATGACCCGGATGTGTCGGATAAACTGCGGTACAGGTTTGAGTCTGGAAATGAACTCAATCTGTTGCTGTTGAACGAGAACACCGGGGACCTGAGGCTGAGCAGGGACCTGGATAATGACAGGACCCTGGAGGCACCCATGACCATTTCCGTCTCAGGTAAGAAATACCGCCTGAACACTTCTTCTTCCTCTCACCTTACCTCCAAGCTCTTTTATTTTGTGAGGAGATGATCTCTTTCGATGTCGGTTACATGTGACGCAAGGTAGAATCATCGCTGCAGAGTCCGTAGAATAGAGACTGAGGGCAGTTTTCAGCTGTGGTGTTTGTTGTATGTTTGGGGAGTGTTTGCTGCAGGCTCAATGTGGGATCCGGTTGTTCTGCTATTGTGCCATTTGGGTGATAAATATATAGTTGTGGTTGGTTGAGGAAATAAAAAGGTGCTATTGGCAGGGCCGATAAGTCCCTTTGTTGTTGCAGATCTATGGGTTTCTTTCCCAAGTTGGAGCACACACATGGCAGGCGTATGCGCACACATTAGTTTAACTCCTGTGGAGCGTATAGGCTGAACTCTTTGAAGTGGCCCGGTGTAGATGCACTGCAGGAAGAGTTATGAGCATCTTGTGGAACGATTTTACCGTACCACAATGTTTCTCACACAAACTGCAATTTCTGAGCCTGAGGGAAGTTTTCGCACCTTCTGTCATATGGGTTTAGATCTGAATGATTGTTGTGTGTTTGTATAACTAAAATACAGGAAAAAGAAGAAAAATATTCTATATATTAATACGCCCCCCCCACTATGGAGGTAGACTTTGTTCTTTCAAGTTAAATATTAGACAACTGCAAACACTGGAGATTCACACCTGAACAGGCTGGGTAACTGCTACAGTCAAGCACACACACACACACACACACACACACACAGAGGCATATAGCACGAAACTGCAGGGACATTAATCAGACTCGATGACTCTAATACCTTGAAAGAATAACAACTCTGTCATCTAATGACGACTAGTGGCTCAACCTTCTTTCTATATATATTTTTTTCTATCTTTTCTGGTTCTCCATCTATCTCTCTCTCTCTCTCTCTCTCTCTCTCTGTTGATCTCTCTCTCTCTCGCTCTCAGTTGATCTCCTAAAGCACATTAAGCCCTGACGTGGGCAAACGGCCCACAGCCAGATCCCCTCAGCTCCCCCCTCTCCCTGTGTCCTCTCTTAAAGCTGACAGTATACAGTATACTGTATGTGTGATGCCTGCCTCATAGGAGCTGTAGGAATGTAAATGAGCTCCTATGTACCATGATGTACTGGTGCAAGCCTACATTTACAGTATATAATCTAAGAAACGTTTTGGTTATTTTAGCTGTACAATCTCAATTCTTTTGATGGCAAGAAATAATTCTCAACTTTTTGGCCAACTTTCATAGAATATTTTTTATTTTTTTTAAATTTCTGGGCCATTTCCCCCTCTCACAGCAGTAGCTCTTAAGCCAGACTTAAACCGGCATTGTTATACACCATGGTTCATCAGGCAGTGGAAGGCTTCCCCCAGATGTCATCCCCTTTCTTCTCTACGGGGATTTTCTTAAAGGACTTGTGCCCTGTCTTTATTTGAGACAAAGACAGACTGTCCTTTTCTAAGTGCTTTATGGCGGTTATAGACGACCCGTGGAGCATCCGAGGAGGCAGCAGCTGACCACTATAGTCACCGGCCTCGCAGCCGTCATTCACTACCACTGCATTCACGTTTGTCGAGAACAGCTGACAGCTCTTGCCGTATCCCAGACAACCGCGAACTCTAAATGGTCCCAAATGGAATTGGGCTTCTTCTTTATTTGCACCCATATGCACACGCACGCAAACATACGTAAGCATGTGTTCTTGTATAATTAAACACATGCACATAGTCCTAGCTCCCTCTTTTTTTGGTGGCTCACACTGATGTCAAGTGTTAGGTTACCATTACCGCTGGTGTCTTGACCTTTCGACCCCGGGTTTTTTAGAGAGGAAGGCCTGAGGGGATTGGTGAGCTAACAGCACTTTAACAAGAGGGACAAGCCTCTGATTGTGCCTCCGGCTCAAATGGTCTCACATATTCTCTTGTGATATATTTAGTTTTATTGCATGGCTGTTGTTATCCTTTATCATTCACTTGCCCATGTTGGGGGCCTAGTTAAACCTGTTACTAGTAATAATATATGTATGTATATATGGACTTTAGAGTCAGCTCATCGGTGGACATCAGCATCCACATCCTCCGCCCACAAGTGACAACATTGATCAGATTGCATTAGCTCCGTCTTGCGTAAATACTTAACAGTGACTATTATTCATGATAAATTCAACAAACGAATATACTGTAGATGTGTCACAGTGAACATCTTGGCTGTGGAGGAGATTATTCTCCTTTTACATCCTCCAAATCAAGGCTCCTCTCCAAGTGCACGGGTTATTTTATTGTGGCGGACTGAAGGCCCAAGAATGTTACTGAAACTTAAGAATGCCCCGATAACGCTCCTGAGATGCACTCGCTTTACACACTCTGCTAGCCACAACACTATCTGTCCTTGTTCCCTCTTCCCGTGTGTGTGTGTGTGTGTGTGTGTGAGACAACAGCTCAGTGGTACAATAGCAAAGGGCTATGTGTTGTCATGTAAGAGCTATAATCTTAATGTGTCAAATTTGACTTAAAACTCTCGTGCCGTCACATCCAGTCAGTGACAGGTCAGGGATTTCTTACAATTTGTTATTGTGGTTGCTACACAATTAGACTCTCACACATGCTGGTTGGTTTCCACAGTTTTCCATTGTCTAAAACCAAGATTCACCAGCATTGTGCCTGCTTGTGTAGTCATTATGCCTCAGCTGTCTAGATAATTAGTGATTTGGCTTATGCCTCCATGTAACCACCAGTCTTTCATAAGCTCTAGCCAAGGTTGCTGCTGTTAGTTCTCTTTCTCCAGGAAACATTCTACGTCAAAGGTGATGTTCACAACAGCCAAAGTTAAAGCTTGCACCAAATGGATATAAGTGGAGTTCTGTTGTATCATTCGGTAAAACAGCGTAGCAGTTTTTCACTTAAACGATTGATGCTAGGGCGTCTTTTTCCACCTCGGCTCTGATCTTTTTCCTTATACTCTGTTATAGGGATGGCATGCCGCTACACGCACTCTCACTCACACACACACACACACACACACACACACACACACACACACACACTAATATGGTTCCTGCCCCCTCTCCTCTTTGTTTCCCCCATGGGGATTTTTTCACTGATCTTCAATGCCTTCGGGTTGGCTCTTAATCCCGTTCGAGCAGTTGCATATCTCAGCTTTTTAACATTTCTGTTCTTGCCCACTCACCCCCTTCAACATACAGTTTCTCTGCTTCCCTCTTCCTCCCTTAATACACATAATTAGATTCCCACTGTGACACGAGAGCTTTAGCTTTTGTGCCTTTTTTATGCGTTTACTCAGTGACCTTCCACTTAAAAACATTCCTGTGAAAACCATGTCTCTTCATTGCAGGCCTAGTTGCTCTTGTGCACTGTGGAGTATTGGCCGTGATGCGTTCAGTCTCTCTTGCCACAACATCATCATCTGACCCGGCACGTAATCCTCATCCGTCCCTTGTCTTTCGCATATTTTTATTAATTATTTGACAAGAACGCACTTTGTGACAGGCATATGACTCCGGCTGTGAGTCAAGGTGCAAACATCCTCCTGTCAGACTTCTGGCCCGTTTCCTTCGGTCTTTTCCCCATGTAATCGTCAAGTGTTTGGTGTTCAGACAAGCAAAAAGCGTTTCCTCACTTGAGCGCAGGCGTGCCGGTGATGACACATGTGACCTCTCACCTGTGGCATCAAAGCGAGACATGGTGGTTTACACACAAACGCTCAGCGGTAAGAAATGACCCTTAACTGTGCTACGCATGACTTGTGACCTCCCAACTTGATTGATGGGGCAAAGAAGAGGGGTTTTTGGGGGGAGTGTATTAATAAGGAAGAGTGAGGAAGAAGTCTTCTCTACGTGGCTCTGAGATGTCCATAGTAGTGGAAAAACCACAATAACAAGTTGTTTCAAATAGCTGCAGTCTGCATCCATGGAGCCTGCGTGCTTCAGTCTTGTCTTCAGCAGCTCATATGTTGTTTTTCCTGCAGTATGTGTGTGAGATAATCTGCCATTCCCAGGCTTGGCACCCTCAGTAACTGATATTGCATTCATTCCTAAGATATCGCACACTCCTGCTTTTAAGCTGGGCCCCTGTCCACATTCCCCCCTGTGCCCCCCCCTTGCTCCTATCTCCCGGCTCTTTCCTCTCAGGCTCGGCCTCATTGTCTTCCCCATGTCTTCTTAGTCTTGCTTTGTCTCCATGCATAATTTCCAAAGAATGCTCCTTCACCACGTGCCTGGAGAGCGTTGCCTGTCGGGCCGCGTGGTGGTGGAAGCTAAATCTATCCGTGGTCACAGGCTTTTATTAGATTACCGTCCTTTTTTTGGCATTCTCTGTCTGTCCACGTGCTCGTCTGCCTCTGCTGTGTCCCTTCATATCTCTTGGCACGCATGCACAGCCCGAGACGGCGCTGAGAACGTGTGCGCAGGTGTAATTGTGGGTCTCTCGTTTCCATGCCGCTGTTTTATTTGTCCGACGAGCGAGAAAATAATCACATTCAGGCTTAATGCCGCAACATCCTCCGCGGGCTCTAATGTTTGGGTGTGCGTGTGTGCCTGCGGGATAGAGACAGGAGTTTGAAGTATAAATACCAGGGGGGGCATCAGGAGCGGTCACTGTAGGACTCCACTGATGTCTGAACACTCAATTACAGGCTCGAGAGCGGAAGGGTGTCTAAGGATCCACGGTTGTGTGATGTTGTCACTGCTGGTGAGAAGGAAGAGGTGATGGTGGGAGAAGTTTGGGCCAAACTGCTTCCTTTACTTCTGAGGAAAAATGACTTTGTCTGATTGGAAAGATGCTTTTTTGTATTATTTATTTATGGGGATAGCTGGTAGTTTTAGAAATCCTTTGAGTTTTGGTTTGTCCATCTTAAGCTACTGGAGCCATCTTTCCTCCCATGCTTTTAATTCATGTTCGGCTTTTATCAAGATCGGTGTTTTGCTTTTGGAAGCGATGGGTCTTCCTTGCGTGCACG